TGGTGGTAGGTAGTAAGGTACATAGATCAAGAAACAAAAAAGCCTCTCGTGACAAATCCCTCAGACCCTTTCTTCATCCCAAACGTCTTCAAAAATTACTCTCTCTCTCTCTCTCTCTCTCTCTCTCTCTCTCTCTGCCCTTGCCACGGCCGGGACCTGCGCCGCCGCATCCTCTACCACGGAGAAAAGCTCCCAAAGCTGTTGACAAAGATCTGTATAGGATCTCGCCGGAGCTCCTTCTCGCCAAGCACCGAAGAGTGAGTTTATTCTACCCTTTTCTTTTCCTTCTCGTTTTAGCAAGCTACATGCCTCAATGTATGTCTCTCTTTCTTGCTCTGCTACTTGTTTCTCTCCCTTTCTCCATCTCCATTCTATGAAACCCTAGACCGAAATCCCCTTCTTCGAAACTGCCCCTTTCACCTTTGTGAACTCACTGGGTTGGTTTATAAAATTAGGAAAATATGATTTGAATAGGTTTAGGTTTTTTATGTTTGTTAGTTGTGTTGATTCCATATATATATATATACACTTGAAATTTGGCTTGTGTGAAATCTGATGTGTTGGTAATCGAATTTTGTAACCATGTAACTGATATGAGACTAATTTTTTATTTGCTTATTGAAATCTGTTTATTTTTCTAACAATTACTCTTGTGGTGGCTTGATTTTCCTATGAGAAACAAAATTAAAGTGGTTTGGATAAATTACCTTTAGCAATTTTCTGGGAATTGTATAAACTGAGAAATGAATGGATATTTTGATGTTACTGTATAAACCCATTCAACATACCCTATTTGCTTATTGGACTTTTGTTCTGCAACCCAACTTTGAAGAATCATGATTTGAGGCACCATGCTAGGAACATAGATTACAATTAATTCAAATAATTTTTTAAACAAAAGAAGTGTTTGTGCTATAATCAGTTGAGAGATTACTAAAATAGGTCCATGAGATATATACCTTTTAGTTTAGGGCTATTTTTCCTTTCTTTTCTTTCTTCCCCCCTCACCTTGCATTTTGAGTTGTCTATGACTCTTTTCTGTTGGATTGATTGTTTAAATTCTGCCTTCTCAACCCTGATTTGATTAAGAACCAAACCCATTTAAGATAGTTCATCTAAATGGTTAGGCCTCCATAATCCAGGCCATAAATTTGTTGGACCTTCAGTGTAGTGTTCATAATCTCGACCTTCTTTAAATTTTTAGCATGTTCTCTTTTGGGATTGGTTAGAATTATCTATTTGTTTTGGTTTTTGAGGGAATTGTAGAGAACTATACAAGAATTGAAGTAATAAATATGTTGGGCAATTTGTGACCTCACCTATGTCATTAATCTGACACTGTCATGTGTGATTATCTTCTTTTTGAGATGTAAAAAATGTTCAATACATATTTTCTTTCCATTGAATGGCAAGTAATGTAGGGTACCTTTTTCAATAGTAATATCCGTTTAGGTTAATTTCTAACAAAATTTCAGATAAACAAAAGTCTTTTCTAGGATGGTGAATTCTATAGGACAGCTTTTGTCAGGCATTTGATAGGAACAGGCAAAGATAGAAAAGGGGGATTGATGCCTCTGATTTGGTCTTTAAAATGGAATTCAATGCTTTTCATGAAAAGGCAACCTCATTTTAGGGTCTAGATCCCTTATGTCTCTTACAAGAATGAGAGACTATCAGATAAATAAGAAATAGATAAAGTAATTGCAAATTTCAAAATTTAATTTTCATTTGCACCGAATACATATCTATACTCTATTAGTATGTAAGTATTTTTTCGATTTTCATTTATCTGATATTTGTCCTACAAGAAATGTTATATGCCATTGATGTGTGCAGGCAAAATATAATGCCATGTTAGGTTGATTGGTATAGGGTATGTTGAATGATTGTGCACAACATTTGTACAGATCTAATTCATGACTTTTTAGTGAATTAATATATTTATTTGAAAAAGGTAAGTCATTTTTTTAAAAATGATAAAAAAAATATTTTGCTTAAAAAATATTTTACTTACTTTTTATTTAGTCAAATAACAAACAAATATTTAAATGTTTTACGTTAAAATAAAGGGAACCTAAATTACCAGCTGCTTCCATATCTCTATGTAAGCCCCCATATCTTATCCATATAAGATTGTGATTGACGTTATCATATGTACAGATCTAATTTAATTTATAATTTATTAGAATTCATAAAACTATAATTTATTAGAGATTCAGAAAAACGAATGTTCAAGTTTTCAACCCAACTACCACGGCCTGCGTTGTCAACCACATGGCAAAGGAGTGAATTTATTTAAACAATTTAAAGTAATGATAGGGATCATAAAAATGGTTATGAAAGATTCTTTGTCGTTACATCACATATATAATAAAATATCTCACATTAATCAAAGAACGAAAAAAATTTATAAAATATTTTATGATATTTTTTCGTGATTTCTAATATTATTTTTTTTATTAGTTGAATTAAAAGAGTGTTCCTATAAATAATGTAAAATTAACTAACGGGATATTGAATTAAGAGAGTAGTCCAATAAATAATGTGAAATTAACTAATGAGAGAGTTAGGGGTGTAAATCTGGCCCCCAGTCCATGTTGTGCAGTAGGAAAGATCTATGCCAAACTCACCCTCTTATGTCTCAATTTAACGCTCTTTTTTGAAAATCCTTTTGGTTGACAAATTAAGCTGCTAAGGCTCCCTTTATTTATTATTTATTTTAAATGGTTAAAAAGTCATCAACAAATGAAAGGAAAACATCACAAGAAACAAGCATTGATCATCAACAAATGGTAGGTTATTCATGCAATCAGACATATCAGTGAGCTACCAAAGTAGGTGGGGTATGTGATGTAATTTGGCAATGTTCTTCAATTCAATTCAATAGCTAAGTTTGGCAATGTTATAATTTGGCATGAGCATTGACAGACCATTGGAGTGGAGTTTTAGAGAGGTCTTTGTTATAATTTGACTTTGGCTGCTGTTATAGCATCCCACTGCTGTAATGCTGTAATACCTGTTTTGGTCTATTAACACAATTCCCCAACAATGGTGAGGGAACCCGTCCCAAAAATATTAAGAATATATATATATTATCATAACTAAGCAAAAATATTAGTGTTATTGATATCTAAATAAAAGATAAGACCACCATCTGAAAAAATAAAAAATATAAGATAAGACCCATTATCACATAAGATGATATCCAAAGAGCAATCATCAACCTAAAAAAGAATAACAGCCAAAATGTAGTGGTTGCTTTCATTGCCTCCTGTCTTGTCCTGGTAATTCCCAGGAAAGAAAATGATATAATGTGACTAAAATGACATACACACGCACAAAATGGATTGTAAGACAACTTGTTCAACCTAACAATACATGAGCAACAAACAACTCGTTGATTTTTCTCTGGAAATTTCAATAAAAATTAAGCTACTTGATAATTGGTATTTTTAAAAATATTCTTTTCTTCCACACACAAAAAAAAAAAAGAAGCAAAGTTTAGCTATTAAAAGCAATAAAATAACTTTCAAAAGGTATAACCAAATTCACTGATTCCTTCCATTTAAAGATTCTGTTGAATAGTAAAAAGCAGTCAAGGTCTTGAAAACTTGTGGGATGGATGGCTAGAAAAAAAAAATTTGAATAGTAGGGAATGGATAAAAGGCAGAGCATAATAGATGCACCAACCATCTCAAAGGGCTTCTCATATTCCTGTCGTGGTTGCTCCCAGACCCGCAAGAAGCCTACAACAATGCCATCTCAAAGCACTTAGTAAAGTAAAACAAAAACGAATGATAGAGGATGTAGCAAAAAAATTGTATTTTTAACTGAGCAAACTCATATTTGTTTGTACAACAACTATCCCAGAGAAGTAGACAAGATGAAGGTACAAAAATTATTAAGTATAATTTGACAAATTGGAAAAGTCAACACCCCTTGGCTACATTACAAATCTGAAAAATCTAGACAGATTTCACAACGTTTTTGAAAAACGTCATAAAAAAAAAAGTCATTGTATCCTCTTTTTCTTGTAGTGCCTTTTATCCTATAAATAGTGGTTGGCACTATCTTAATACATGACCAACAAAGTCAGCATGAAGTTGGTAATGATGTATTGATAATGCCTCCATCCATTCCAAACATCAATAAGATCTGCAAAACTCATGCTAGTTTAAGTATTTCAAAACAGACATACCATCATAGGTCTCACTAACAAAATCTAATTTCCAGCTCATGTTAGCCTCTACTTCCATTTCAATTCACCCCTAGCTCTGAGTTCTGCACAAGATAGCACACTTGAGAATATAATTTTATAACAAAGGTTGAGTTATAAACTCAAAGTTCACGAGTTTAAGAAATGCGATAACGTCATTGGTTGTACGAACTTATGAAAAATAAAAAAGAATAGAGCATCACCAGCTTTATATTGCGCGATATCACCAACAATAGGAGCTGAATTATGCTTATATATCACAAGATCAAGTAACAAGCGAGCCCTATGCAAATAGTCAAACTACATGCCAAAAGTAGTGAGTACATAAAAACATCACACATTATAAATTAGTCTTCATAAAACATAAGATACTGATAAGTGGATAGTTGGGTATAAATGTAAGTACCTTGATTACACCCGAAGGCAAAGGTTTCTCTTGCATATATTTGATGACGAAAAGACCACAATCATAGCTATAGGAATGAGTGTAGTTGTAACAATAGAGTCAACGAACTTAGAGATTATAACATTAATGCTTATTTAAAAATTAAGAACGATAATGTAGTGTATTACCTGTTGTCTTGGCGTGGCATGTCTTCCAACCATTGAAATGCAAACGAACTAACATCTTGAACATAATCTTCTCCATGCGTATATTGAAGCAGCTTATGCAATGATTGTACCTGTTGGTGGTAGGTAGTAAGGTACATAGATCAAGAAACAAAAAAGTGGATACAAGTGGTATCATAATGGTTATTCTATTACCAATAATGTAGCTTGATTTTTTCAATCCTCATCGGTGTCAATACATTTGCTGGAGTCGAATAGATAGGCAACCCGTTTTTCCATGTTTACATTCAAGCACAACCAGTGGTTTTCCCTATGGTTGAAGGGCATGTAAATCTAAAAATATAACGTCGAATGTACATGCAAAAAATAAACAAATACATAACATGGATCAAATGTTATTGTGCATGGTAAATTTGGAAATTGGGTAATAGTAGTATTTTATCATGTTACCTCCTCACAAGCATGAAGGGGGCCAGTGTATCTGTAAATTCCAAAATAATCTTCTACTATATCTTTCATTGTGTCATCAGAAGGTTGACACAAAATCTTTTGCTGCATATTCAATTTTAACATATAAATAACTTGTGCCTAAATAAAAAAAGTCTTTAGGTATGGCTAATACTCACCAATACATGGGTCGGAAAGTACCAAACCTTGTGATCCTTATTTGGAAACTTTTTCCTTTGTTTATTTGTCAATTTCACAACAATGAGATTTATAATCTGCAGTGCAAAATATATGAAATTTATGAATAGGCAAAGTAAAGTAACTTGGATGATGGAATGGTAGCAAATAAAATAGGAGAAGGAGAAAAGTCTTACACATGAGGATATCCACTGATATGGTTTCAAGGACCACAATTCCTTCCGCGTTGCAGATTGTGCTTCCACATAGTGCAGTTTCATCCGTACAAGATATTCCCTAGCACATGGATAACTATGTGAGTTAGAAGGTATAATACTTCATACATAACAAGTTAAAGGAAGTCAAATTGTACCCTTCTGAAAGAGATTCATCAAATGCATATCGTAGAACGAGACTATCATAGTCATTTAATGGGTCTGGCAAAGGCACGGATGACTTGTAAAGGTATTGAGAAGAATAGTGCATAAAACAAATCAAGCTTAATTAGTGTATGTTCATGAAGATGGAGTTGGCACAAAATAACCACATATACAAAAGATACTATAATAATTAGTTCCAAACCTTTGGGATTTCAGGAACAACATTACCCCCAAGTTGATCAAGTAAATTATCAAATAGCTGATACAAGTAAAAGAAAAGTAAGAAACAAACACTATTTGTTACACATATATCAAATATGTTTTGAGACACAATCATTTAGTTTACTTGATCGAGATTGTCATGAATATTATTGTCAATGTTGTTGTCAGTTAACGATGGCTTCAACTGTGGTCTTTTCTTCATTACATCAAATTTCACAAAAGGTGTACGCAACCACTGACTGGCTTTGCAATTCTGGGTCCCTCGAGTCTGAGGACCACGAACAACACTACATGATGATGACATTGTTACAGCATTCACTTTAACTGCCTTTGTATCACTCTTTTTTGAGCGCGATTGCCCCTTTTGTGGAATAGGAAGTTGTTCATTATTTAATGCTTTCCCACCAACCAATTTGGCTCGTTTCTTTGCAACTGCCTTTGCATTTGGTGGTGTGAGGATTGGTTTCTCAAATGCAAAGTTTCCATTGGTTCTTTGTCATTCATATTCCTTATCTCATCCTCATCTACAAACTTCGGGGAATTGGCTGCAACCTTTTCGATACCATTATCATCGAGACCAACCATTTCAATGTCAATTCGATACTCCTCATGTAGTTTGCTTGGTGGTGTTTTAACATGTCCACCATCAAATGGAATGCGTCGTTCTAACAACTCAAGAATTTGACCAACTTGGTTCTCCATTTTGACCAGTCGCTGCTCTGCAAGAAGTTTGCTTGGTGGTGTTTTAACTTGTTCTCCATCAACTGGCATGTGTTTTTCTAACAGCTAAAGAATTTTTTCAACTTGATTCTCCATTTTGGTTAGACGCTTCTCATCCTCATCTTGCCTTGTGTCCTTGTGG